GATTTAAAGTTCTTCGCCACGCCTCCCAAAAACTGATAAAGCATATTTTGGCATTGTGATCAGCCGGTAATAATTAGGTATTGATTGGTATTCCTGAAAAGTGGCCATTCAAAGACGCTCCGGTATCAGTTTTATTGCAAAATAGGTTTGTTAAGTCTTACAAGCCACGCAGAAAAGAATGCCTTATGTCCCAGTTATGTTGCTCAGATTACGACTATTGCGATAGTTAAGGGTAATGCGTACTTTGAAAAAAGTTTTCTTATATTATTTTCGTTGACAGTGAGAGAATATATTGTATGTAGGTTTGTGTCTCTCATCTATTTTTTTTTCTCCGAATATTAAATTTATCCATCGGGATAAATTATATCACACTATTACTGCGAACTGTTATTGTGGAAAGTTACCTCGTTACCTCGTCTGGGCAAGGCTGTAGGGAAATTGGGCTAGATTTCTTGGCGCTAAAAACTTCAATAAGCGTATGCAGCGGCTGCAAAGAGTCTCCTTAAAGTGAACATATTTTCAGTAATGAGGTGAAATTATGTAAAAGGATGAAGAACTTTATTCTTAATCGTAATTCTTTAGCTTTCGTTACGGATAATAAGCAAATTCACATACGTTGTACATATAAAATTCTCCCGTAAAGCTTCTTTATATTACTTTTGTTCTTAATACAAATGCGAAACGCAAGAGCAGATAGATACCAAAAGGCAGTAGCCAGATATTAATCCTTGCTCTTCAAACACGAAATTTTTGACAAGTACTTTTCAATACACTAATCCTTGTGGACAATTGTATAGATATGACAGCATGTTCATCAATAACGTACAGCCCTATAAAAATTCTTGGCAGCGTAATTTTAAATACCATTCTATGCATAATCTCTTCGAAATGGGTGAACGTCGGCTCTGATTGAACTTTTGCATTTAGTGCAGTAAATGTAATTGAGAGCACTCTGACGGAAACTGTATGTTTTTTCTGACGTTTACGGAGATTATATGTCGTTAAAGAAGAAGAAATTGCACGTATCATAATATTACATATTGTGCGTACCAAGAAAAGAAAAAAAAAACACAAAAGAAAAACGGGACAAGAAAATCGAAATTCGTTACACAAATACACAACTTGTGCTCACAATTACACAATTTTATGAATTAACTTTTCCCGCGATAGTGTTGTTAAAGGGAAAACTACGTACATATGCACGAAAGGGGAATAAAACGCTAAAAACAAAATCAATGAAAATTTCGTTACAAAACAAACGAACAGCAAAAAAGAAAAAAAGAAAAGAAGAAAGAAAAGTTTCCAAGAGCAAAAGCTTATACAGTTACAAGAGACTTCTTATAATAATAATCCTTGCATGGAAGTATCGAATATACGGCCATTTACATGCTTACACATGCACGTTTATATAACCGGATATATGCATTTATGTATACATATATATAGAACGTACAAATACACGCGTGCATGTATATATATATATATATATATATATATGAAAGCAGTCATTTATTATTTGACATTTGAATGACAGCTTGTCGAGTACAGGATTTGCTTTTTGGGAAAATGTCATGTCACTCATGCAATCAGCCAGTCAACCAAGCAACCATCCAGCCGAACTTAATCCCAGTACCCCGTACACCTTATACCCTCCAATCACTGAATAAAGTATTCAAAAATTGAAATACAAAAGTAGATCGCTTCATTGTTATTGTTATTGTTGCTGTTGATGTTGATGTTGGCATTGGTGTTGGTGTTGCCGTTGCTGTTATTTTGCTGTAATTGTTATATGAAATTGCATCTGTAAATACACTTTAATGACATCTTAACAAACGAACACATGTATGCATGTACACGTTCATCCATCCATCCGGCTCTTTATGTAGGCAATTTAATATCTCTGGTGCCAAGAAATATAACGAAAATATGCACATATACACGCATAGAGACATCTACTTCAATAAACACAAAGCAGATAAAAAATACAAGAGCCAGAGCGCAAGCACACGCATCTACATCTACATAAATCATAATATTATATCATTATTGTGGCACAGGCACAAGTGTCAAATTAATAATGTTGGCACACGTCAATTTAATGAAATTCAAACAACAAATACGTTCAACGCAGCTTTTCATACTAGGTGTGACAATTAATAATGGAGATTACTCTCTTTCTTTTTCTTTTTTTTTTTTTTTTTTTTGTTCACTGTAGATGAACTTAATATGCGATATATAGAAATAAATTAATATGTACATGTGTGTGTGTGTGTGTGTCTATGTGTGCGTCTTGACGAAGAGTTTCGAAACATGATGCAGCTAATTTTCTATTAACAAGAACATGTCACACACATACTTTTATGCCTGAAATTGCAAGCAATTACAAAATTTTAGGGTATCAGCCCATACAACTTGGTCCTGTTTACTGGACGCTGATGATAAAATTAATTATATTGGAGCAAACGTAGAAAGCGGTCTATGCATTTCATCAAAACGTTTGAAAAAACTTACTTTAAAATGCAAACCCATTATTCGCGTTGGGTGAAAAACGAGGAGAATAGCTTCTAAAAGACTCTTTAAAGTCTCTTGCATGGAAATTATTATTTTTCAATTTTATTGGCCAGATTTTACATCTTCCAATCAATGCTTTTTGCGGTCGACAACGCACAGTGTTTTCTCTTTTTTTTTTTTTTTTTTCTGATTATAAGAATTTGTTTCGGAATGGTTTGCTCCAAAATTTTAAAAATATGCAATAAAGATCATGTTCACCGCATATACCTAAAAAAAAAAAAAGGAGGAAGATAAGTCTCTAACCAGCGAACAGTGCAGATTACTCAAAATTCAGCTCCCGAATATTTTCATTGCCATTTTTTCTACCCGTTATCGAATCTTTACAACTAATTATTACACTTATGTGTTTAAATATGTGCCTATGCATAGGTCGGATTTATACATAATTACATTTTCTTTTTCAACTACAGCAAGTGCACCGACTATCTATATAGATTCACTAAAAAAAAGAAAAAAAAAAAAGTTGAAATTATTTAGTAATCCGCTAGTGTATGATTATTGGCTTGGTACCCTCGTTCACTATGCTTAGCTATGTGTACACTTTTGCATAAATTGCATGTCAAGTGCTTTTTTTATTACAAGTCTATGTGTTCGTTTATACTGTCATTGAATTAACGAACAAATTACCATTTATATGCCCTGTTGGGGTAACATAACTTTCTTTATCGTTTTTGAACAAAATTTGATGAAAATTTATTTAATTACAAAAAATATACCCAAACATTTAAAAATTACAACCCTGCACAAAATGTTGATTACCTTGCAAGTCTAATTGCATACACATATAAAGGCACTTAAAAAAATAGCTCAGTAAAATATGATAATTCTCTTATGTAAATTTTTATATAAAGATTTCGTTGCATATTTAAAATTTACTAATCGAATCTTTTCCATCAAAGCTTTTCTCGTTCAATTTTTTCGATAAAATAAAATAAAATATATTGGCATCAAATCGAGAGAGCCGCACGCAGAAATAACCGAACCTAAAATTTATTTTTCAAGCAACACTTCAGTCATAGTACCCCTTAAGTGTTTAGCATAGTTATGGCAAATTTTTATTAGAGGAAAAATTGTAATCAAAACTAATATACCAAGAGCCTGTATTTAAAATTTCAAGAATGGTGCAGCACTTACTTCATCTAAGAACAATCTTTGTTTGCCAGTTTGTATCCGTTGTAAAGAAAGAACAGAAATATTTAAATATTCTTATCTTAAGTAACGTCTGCTCAAAACATCTCAACGCATGGACATTTAGGTCATTAGGGGCTCTAAGATGCGTTCATCCTTTGTCATAGCTTTTTTCCCCTAACTAATACCAAAATTTTTCCCGTGCGACATCACAAAATGCTCATTCGTCCGAATCTCTCTGTTCCTCTGTACATGTGACATCTGTTCGCGCATTCTTGTGTAACCGACAGCTTTTGTCCCAAGGTCGAAACCTGTTGAAACTATTTCTTGCTTTTAAAGTCCATTTGCATAATCTCCTAAGGAGTCTTTCAAAAAAATAGCCAATCATTCCAAACGTTACTAACTTTACATCAGACTAAATAATTCTCGCCGGGCAAGTTCAAGTCCGCTTTTACTACCATAAGCTTCTTCGAATGTCTGATGCAAATGTGGCGTCATTATGCAACTTTCACTTAGCCTTAGCTAGGCTTAATCCGACACACGCTAGAAAGTATTCCAAATCAGATAAAAATCTTTGATGTTGGCTTTTCTTATCACTTTTCTAGTGGATTTTTGAAAACAATTAAAAGTTTTTTTTTGAAAAGCTTAACGTTTTTACGAACGTTTTTCCTTTGGTTACACACTATGGCACTAAGCATACAGCAATTGTTGTTGTGTATGTATGGCTTACATGAAATTAAAATAAAACAAATTTTGTAACTATGACATTATATGCACACACACTCACACACAAACACGCATACACAACGAACGCTGTCAATGTATATACCCTTTTGTATATACTTACGAAATTTTAAATGTACATTTTTATTGCCTGCCTTTAGGCTCCAAACATGAACTAAAAAAATATATTTAAATAACAAACAATCTGATATAGACCATTATACATATTATATATATATATATATATATATACATATATATATATACATATATATATGTGTGGATACGATATTTGTTATTAAAACTTGTACATCCTTCCACATGAAAGCACATATACTTGGGAAAATTACAACTATATAATAGCTTCTAACAAAAGTTCTTGCATATTTTAAAGGATAAACACATAAAAATTCAAAATGCAGAAAACTAAACCCTATCTTTCCTTAACCTTTCATTAAAATCATCTTTCTTTTCTTTCTGATAATTTTCTTTAAAGCTTAATGCTTTGTTGATAGAGATTTTTTTTTGAGAAAATTTTTTAAAATTTCTTTACTATTTCGTATTTTAATTGCTTACAGGTGCCGCCCACAAATCAAACTAAATTAGAAGGCGAAAAGGTGATATTTTCATGTGAAGCTAAAGCGATGCCTGGTAATGTCACTGTCAGATGGTTTCGTGAAGGCTCACCGGTACGTGAGGTAGCCTCGTTGGAGACGCGCATTACGATACGCAAGGATGGTTCCCTAATTATAAATCCGATTAGTGCCGATGATTCTGGTCAGTATTTATGCGAAGTAACAAATGGCATCGGCGATCCACAAAGTGCATCGGCTTATTTAAATGTAGAGTGTAAGTAAACATTGCCCATCCGAACTTACTCTTAATAATTATAAAATAAAATGAAATTGACTCATGGCCGATACCAAATAGCAAATTCGCTTTATATTGATTCTTGTATTTCATTTTCAAACATTTATTTTACCTTTTTTCCTTATTCGAAAGATAGATAATTTTTCAGTTAAGAAAAGGAATTTTTTTGTTTTCATTCATTACTTTTGCAGATGCTGCCAAAGTGACCTTCACGCCAACTGTGCAATATCTACCGTTTCGTTTGGCTGGCGTTGTTCAGTGTTATATAAAATCAAATCCACAATTGCAATATGTCACATGGACCAAGGACAAACGTTTACTAGAGCCCTATCAAATGAAGGATATCGTTGTAATGGCGAACGGCTCATTACTCTTTACCCGGGTTAATGAAGATCATCAGGGTCGTTATACCTGTACACCGTACAATGCTCTTGGTACTCAGGGATCATCTGGACCCATGGAAGTTTTAGTGCGTAAACCTCCTACATTCACTATCGAACCAGAATCGCTGTATCAGCGCAAAGTGGGTGACAGTGTGGAAATGCACTGTGACGCGGTCGAGGCAGAAGGTACACAAAAACCTATCATTAAATGGCAGCGACAAGATGGCGGCCAATTATCGGATACACAACGTAGTCGCGTTAAAATCTCAGGCGGTAATATAACCATCGAAAATTTACGACGCGAAGATTTTGGTTATTATCAATGTGTTGTCTCCAATGAAGTGGCCACCTTAATGTCACAAGCTCAATTAGTTATTGAGGGTACACAGCCGCATGCCCCGTACAATATTACTGGCAAGGCCACTGAATCATCGATTACTTTACAATGGATGCCAGGCTATAGTGGTGGCTCCGATTATAAACAAGATTATACTATATGGTATCGTGAGGCCGGTGTTAACGATTGGCAAACGATATCTGTAACACCATCGGGTAGCACACAAGTAACGATTAATGGCTTAGCATCGGGCACTACCTATGAATTTCAGGTAGTGGGTCGCAATGTGCTGGGAGACGGCATGATGAGTAAAATCATGACTGTACGGACATTAGGTAAGTTAATGTGCTCCACACATTTTTCTTTCTCTCTTCTTCTGTTTATTATTATGTTAATTTGCTTTTACAATAATATTCTATTTTACGTTTTGTTTTTTTTTTTTTTTTTTCGTTTCGATCACTAGTAATTTTTTTTATTTCTCTTTTTAAATTAACATAAAATGTAAGCAATCAATTTTATGCACCATATCATTTATGAATAATTATAATTTATCGTTGAGGATTTGGGGTAGAAAAGAGTTACATAAATAATAACAATAAAATAAATAATAAAAACAATAGTTATAATAATAGCAATCAAGTACGGTTGGAAAGACACACAATTGGTTAAGATCTCACTGACATTACGTTTTTGATACGTTAAATGCTCTAAGAAATACATATAAGTAATTACTAATATCCCGGTAGCCGAGTGAGTGTGGATCATATTTTTAATAAAGAAAAAACGGTAGTACGTCCCTTTTTATTGCGCTCTTTTTCACGGTCTTGCACTGTTTTCGTATGCAGTTTAGACGATGACGTTGAAAAATCGTAAAAATTACCTCCTCCTGCAAGTATTGGTCACATTATCAATTTATTAGTATTATTACTCGATCGGGTTTAATGAGGAACTAGACATTTTTATCTACCAAAGACTAAAACTAACTTAAAAAATTTGGATATCACAAAGGCGAAATTGACCTTATGATCCTCTTTTTTGAAATAAGCTTGACCGAAAAAGTTATACAAAGCTTGCTTGATGTCTAGCTAAACAACGTAGAAAATTTGGATAGAGCAGACATGGCTGGCTTTACGATTTTCTTTCGACTTTAAAACGTCGATGCGCTTCATGTCAGGCTTACCGATTCCCAGATTAAGTTAGTCGACCTTTTAAGCAATATTCTGCAAATGCATCAAAAATACTCATACATGTACCTATCTAGCGGTCAATACTATTTTTGCGCCGAACATGCGGGTGATTCGGGCGAACATTTCAATTTGAGTTTGATATATGTTTACGGGATCGAAGTGTACAGACGAAAATTTCAAAAAAATTGTGGTTGTTTTTCGAGGTTGTGCTAGTTTTTCCTACATTCAGGGCGTGTACGTAAAAAACTCACACTCATTCTTCAACCACACATTTCTAATCGATCAAGAAATGACTTTTCCAACTTTGAACTTCCTATCTTTATTTCCGCGAGTTTGAAGACACCATAAAAAAAAAAAAAATAGTATACATATGTATTTGCTGCATTAAATCATTAAAAATTAGTATACAACATCTGACGATATCTGCTTGCTTCTGAGGGAATTTTTGAGCTTGAAATCACTAACCCGTCAAATTGATGAGTAGATCGACTATTAAAAGAAAGCACTGACTGGTCACTTAAATTCAATTTAGAGTTCGCGAGCAAAGAAATTTCGGCGATATAGTTTGGGTCTTTCAATTTGCAGACTGTGACTATAATTTTTTTTATGTGTATAAAGTTGAATTTGATCGCCATAACTGCTTAAGGATCAACATTGGTTTAGGATATCTAAAATTTATCTAATGATTTTGAAAGACATACTTAAAAAGATTTTCCCAAGCAACTTTTACTGACAAGTCAATAAATTGCGACAAATCTTGGTCACATGGCTTGCTTCTAATTTAAGAAAGCGCCACTATACAGTACGAAGCTGTCATTATCATTAGTGTTAATCTGGTTAGAAATATTAAAATAATTAATTAATTTGAAAATTTGTTCCGAACAAATAATCACAAGACGCAGCTGCCGCTTTACGTCTTCCTTCTTTCTTAAAACGTCCAAATTCAACAAATTCCCATATATTGATTGTCGCCAATCTTACTCTTGTCAACGTATGTCGTGCCCGAGCGGATTTCACTTAACATGCATTCAGCTTCATTCTTTTCCCAATTTTCTGACAATTCGTAACATGCAGGCTCCAATTTTTCGTTTTTTGCAGAATCTATGTTGCGTCGCCATAAGTGGCGTACACTGAAACCTTCTTTTCCCCATTCGACATACAGTTTATGCAAAGCCAACGACACCAAATTAATGGTGAACTTTTCGTCATCAGCTGCTCCACTATTTTCATTTTTCTCGTTGTTTGTTGATCTACCAGAGAATAAAATTGCGCCGATGTCGTAACATCTTGTCATAATATCTTTACTATGATAGCATTATTGCAACTCACTTTTGACAAAGTGTGCGTCGTTCAGATAGCTCTCCTATGACATTAAAACATTTTATATTTTTTACCTATAAAATTATCGAGTTATATAACTAGGCCTTGCACAGAACAAAGCGTGATTAGTTTAATCGTCATCGTTCTTGTTACTTTCATGCAATGTATTCAACATTTAATTCAGCAATTACGACTCATTTAAGGTTACTTAAGGCCTATGACTATACAGGAAAATGTTGGTAATCTTAGGCGATCTTTCCAACTTGTAGATGTCGTTTTTTTTTTTTTCTCTTTTAATCATTTAACCCCACATCTTCACCGAAGTACTTAATAAAGAAATTTAAAATCGGTTGCGTTCCTAACATCAATAAAATAATGTTCTTTTCTATATTTTTTTTCTTCTATTTGTTTCTCTTGTTCTTTTACGTTCCTTTTCCATCTCTTACTTGCTTTCCTAACTCTAACATTCACGTCATAACTCTGCAAAAAAAAAAAAAAAAAAAAAAATGCAACTTTTGAACGATCAAATGCCAAATACAAATTGAAATTTGAATTTTGAAAAAAATTGCCTTGAAAAAAACAAAAAATTCAAATTCAATAGAAGATGCCCCGGCAGCGCCACGTAATGTCAAGGCTGCAACACAACCACCAGATCATGTATTTCAACTAATGCCAGACGAAGCTGGTAAGAGAAAAATGACAATAGCAAGATTATCGGAGTAAAAGTTTAATGAAACAAAAACAAAAAAAAAATAAAATTAAAAAAACGAAAAAAAGAAATTTAAAGAGAAATTTCATTTGAAATTTATTTAAACGAAAAAAACTGAATTTTTTTTTTTTTTTTTTTTTTTTTTTTTGGTTTAAGCTTTAAACCAATGAAATCGGGAGTAGTTGCAGAAGAATTTACTTTATTAATTTTTGTTTTTTCAAATTTTCGTTTGAATAAAAAGAGTGTATGTCAGCACAACTTTCTTTATTGTAACCCACTAATGTTCTCCCCAAAAATACTATTAAGCTAACCATCAAGTACCCTTTCTTTGGTTTCTTTAAAGAGTGCATGAGCTTTAACTGCAAGTATGCTTGCTCTACTACTACAATGTAAATACTTAATGAATGAACAATGAATTGTTTTTTTTTTTTTTTCCTTTTTTCAATAACAATAAATGTGTTTTTTTCTGTCTTTTTTCAAAAATTTCAATTAAAATCCTATTAGAAAAAACTAAGAAAGTGTATGTGCATATATATATCTCTCTATATATATCTATATATATATATATATATATATATATATATGTGTGTTTTATTACACTTAATATAACACTTGTAACATAACGATAATAATAATAGTAATAATAATAATAATGATAAAATAGTTTATCTCCCCCAGTATATATGTCCTCTGATCCCGTTAATTGTTTCGTTAAGCTATTATGTTTTTTTTTTTTCTTCAATTTTTCGACTTTTTTGTCTTTGCCTATGTTTTCGTTGTATATATACACAAAATGCTCTCCTCCTTCAGAGTTACTTTCCTATCTTTCTTTACTTACCCGATACTTTGTATACATGAGATGTATTCTCGGTTACGTTTCGCCGAATTAAGTTATAACTAAACAAACTAGAATATGAGTAAAGTTTTAATCAATGCTTAATAATAAGAGAGGATTTCTACACATAAACAAATAAACATTACTTTCTCGAACCTGTGTTGTGTAATGCAATCCTGGATTTCGTGTTCTCCTGGCGCTTACGTTTCAACACAATTTTTATTGTATAATTTTTATTTGTTTTTATGGGTTCCTTCAAATTTCATATATAATTTTTTTTTAACTTGATTTTTATTTTTGCTTTCTTTTTCTACATTTAAATTGTGCATAACAACGTAAACGTTTAAATATTCCTTTTATTTGTCTAAATGCCCATCTACCAATCTTCCGGGCTACATATAAACATATATCTATACGTGTTTATCTATATCCGCGGTTATGAGTGTGTACATGTCTATATCTACATATATATATATGTATATATATATATATATATTTATTTATATATATATATATATATATATTTATGTGTGTATCTATGTGTGTATGTGTGTATATATATGTAGATATGCATATATACATATATTTAAAAAACATTGGTTACTCTTTCCCATATAACGTGGGCCTCTCACATTTCAATTCCACCATAAAGTTGTGAACTCACACACATAGGTATTATTATTTATTTTTTATTTTACTGTTTAATGTTGGTTTAAATTTCCATTTTATATAAGCTTGGGCTCTTGGCACACTAATCCAAGCAAATAAAAAGCCCCACACATGCACACAAACGAACGTACCCAAATCGCCTAGTGTGAGAAATACCAACAAAGACAAAAAAAAACAAAAAAAAAAAAAACAAGAAAGAGGCAAAAGCAGAGTATAACACATGTAAAATTGTGTCAAGGATAATTTTCACATATTGCGTATAGGTGTGTGGATATACATATATATATATATATATGTATGTATTTATATGTATATGTATGTATACATATACATACTATTCTCGTTATTGTTGTTGCTGCTGTTGTTGTTGAGTTATTGTGATTACGTTGTGCAGAGTGGACGTCATTCGTATAAATCATTGAGGTCATCTAGACATATACATACATATGTACATATATATCATACTCGTATAAGTTACACACTTTAAGGCCACTTTATACCATGTGTTAAATCCTTTTTCCTTCTTTTTTTTCTGTTCTGGTTCTTATTTTCATTTTTTGCTTCGTCTTAATTTGTCAAAAAATAAAAAAGTCACGTATCATAGCAAAACTATGGCGTTTCTTGTACACCAAAAAGAGGTTATTCACTTACACTCATCCAATCAGATTCAAAAAGTACATATATATCATGAATAAGCGAATTGTTAACTAATTTCCTAGAATTACACACAATTCCGCTATACAAGTACATGTCTGCTTATTTATACCTGCGTTCTAAGAAATGTTGAATCTAATCATTTTCGAGCGCAAAAAGAATGCACTCGAAAATAAATTGTTAAAATACTTCCTACGCATTCATATCATATTTATCACTTTCTTTAATTTCATTACTTATCTATCAAGCCACCAATCATTTTATGATCTATTTATATCGCTATTGTCTCGATAAGATTTAAAACCAAGTTTCAGATATTCCAGGCAAAGGTCGTCTTTGACAACACAATTCCTTCACCGATATGTGGTATAGTATGTCGTATAATTTTTTTATTTTTAATTTGCTTCAAAAAAACGCTATTAACTCTCACTTCCACTCATTAACGAGTAAGGCAAGGCTTAAACTGGTTCCATACAATGAGGGAGAGTTGACAAACTCGGATTCTGAACGTTATCCGGTCTTATGCGGCACTCTACTCGATCTGACTTGAAAACCTTAAATTTTTCATAGCGGATGCGAAGTCTTACCTTAACCGAATATCGCATTTAATATATACGCACATGTGAATAGAAAAATAGATGGAGGTAATCTTATGGTATGGGACTCCCTTCATGGCGTGACATACATCTCGTCCAATACATCTCGTAGAAAACATTACGGAGAGTTTTGTATATAAAAAATTGTTGGAAACTGTAACGGTACCATATGTGGAAGAAAATATGTCACTGGTACGAAAATTTTAGTAGAATAATATCCCGAAACATTCATTTATGATTCCGGGACTCATCACGCTTCCATCGCTGCAATGCCCTGTCAGTGTTCCGAGCTCAGACATGTTGCGAACCCTTGGAGAGAACTAAATCGTCAAGTCTCCTGTAGCAATAGAAATCAGTTATGGGAAAATATTCTGTTCATTAGCGCCATGGTTTTCTTCTGCTTTCGTCAATGCTGATGGTATAGGGGATATGGCTTTGCCATCTTGACGACTACGAATTCTTTCTCATAACTGTGGTACGAATGGATAGAGTTAATTAAAATTAATTCATCAAAGGCTTTTTTGGCTTATTCATTAGTTTTAACGAGAAGTAAATAATATTTGCGATCTTATCTCCTTTCTCTCGAATCAGTGATGATACTCTCAGGAGTCTTTTATAGCATTCCGAAAGTTCCAGGACAAACATTCATTGCTTTAGAGTATTGGAGAACGGAAATCGAAAAAATCCTTGTACAAAACTGTGGTTCGAGCGATAACGCATCCGAGTTGTGTCTTATGCTATTTTATACAAGCTGATGAAAGTACCACTTTCCTATAGACTCCACCGAAAGACTCTGGTTCCTAACATTTTCATGGACTGTTTGTTTATTTTATCTATGCATTCTAGCCCTAACTAACATATGTAACCTTACTACATATGTAAGTCCATATGCGCAACATATGTGCGTGTATATGTAGTGAACCAATCTCTAAAAGAAAATTTAGATCAAATTGCTATTCTTTAACTCACACATACGTACATTGTTTGTTACTTCCCCGCGCTTTTCACGAAATGTACCTAAAGACGGCAATTAATTCACTATTTATTTTATTTAATGTTGCTTATGAAATTTATGCTTTTCTCTCTCCCTCCCTCTTCCAGTTAATATTAAATTTTTTCGCAGCGCAAATAGTAAATCAACGTTAGGTGAAATCCTCAGAAAGTTTAGGATTATGTGCGCGCAAACACACATTTACAGGAACGTTTTCTTAAACGCATATATATATATATATATGTGCAAACAAACGTCTATGACTTTATTACTTTGAAATCATAAGAACACTCAAAACTTTTGCAAATAATCACAAAAAGAAAGAAAAATAAAAAAAAAAAAGTAAAACAAATTTTAATGGAATTCAACTCAAACAGTAAAGTTTTGCGGATTGTCATGAATGAAAGGAATAATTTTCACTTTTAAAAATTACTTACTATACTTGCATTTCTTTTAATTCTCTTGCACAAACAATTATACACAAAAGTCCATTTTTGCACCGGCACTTAATACAAAAAAAAAAAAAAAAAAAAAATGAAAAAATAAAAAACGAAATCCTTTCCTATTTGTTTCTTCTCGCTTCTTAGTATTTCTTTGCATTATATTGAAATTTTTCCCTCTTTGGGATAAGTAAATATTTGAGCTAAATTTTCCATTTTGTTAATGAATTTCGGTTTCTGTTCTTTTTCTATTTTTTTTTTTTTTTTTTTTTTTGTTTTTGTTTATTCTTATACCGTAAATCGTTTTATTTTGATGGTTTTTGTTTCGTTTAATTTCTCTCTATTTTTTATTTGCAGACCTTTTAGCCTATTTTGACATTTATTTTCATACCGATTCGAATGGATCGATTGTTTACTCACCGCCCAAATTAAAACTAAAAGGTATTATTTTTTCTACATTATTATTATTTTCTCTCATTCGAGTTGTATTTGTTTGCATTTTCTTTGTTTTTTTTTTTTTTTTTGCATAAACTTTAATTAAGAAAACATTAAAAATAAAATTCGGCTAAAGTCGACTTTATCTATCCATTACTTGTTCACAGTTTTAAATTTTATTTAAATTTTATTTGTTGTTTGTTGTAAGTTCTTGGCATTTGTTCTTAATAACTTTCTTCTATTTTGCCGCAAGGTAAAGATCATCATGTCACTGAAGACATATGGTTTTCGTAGAGACCTTTTGAAACCAAGTCGACACAGTTCAGTGAGTATATACACGATAGCTTGACATTGCTTCATTCAAACTAAGCTCTCTATTGATTGTCGAGGAACTGATAAGACCTGCATTCTTATGGCCGTAATCTTGGCGACAACACAGAGATATTACATGGCATAAGGCATATTTCCCGGCAACAACCCGCATGTATTATAAAACTCCCTATCACAATGTTTTCCTATGGTTCTTCCTTCGGGATAACAAAAGTGATACTAAATCAAAACAACTTTAACAAAAATAACGAATTGTCTTGTTTTATGACTAGTGATGGTTCAGACCGCCCCTTAGTATGTTATACGAAAAATATCTTATTTATTGATTTCAAAACACTCTGCTTGTTGGCAGTGAAGGTACGAGCACCTCGTATAACGCGGATAAGCATATTGTATTGGATGATTTACTTCATTTCACGAGCACCATTTTCGCGTTTTGATCTCCCTTATATTGGCGCTTCTGCACTGCTGATTGCCAAACAGTCGAACATGTTTAAAAAATCTCCTTAGAAGATTCGAAGATAGAAATTTCATCGAGTTAAAGAGGTTGTTCAATGTCGAGTGTTTTCACGTGTTTCACGTTTCGACTATTTAAATCTCCATTCGTTCTAAATACGCACGCAAGAGAATATCATTGCTTATTAAGAAGCACAATTTAAGGCCATAGTAAAGGTATTACTGTTCATTGCGTAGCCTAGCTTGATGATGTCCAGTACACAGCTGAGTTTTCTAGTTTATTAATAGGCAAAGGAGTTAACATCTTTCATTTTACTGCAAGCTTTCTTTACTGCTTCAAGTTATGAACTGCAATTCAATTTTGCAAACAGATCAACAGATGCAAAGGCTTTCGTCCCAATTAAAGGAATAATCCATCAACAAGTTCCTTAATTTTATATGTGAAATGCTTTCCACTTGATTTCGACTCTCCGACTAGCATCAATTCGCCCTGACATCGCCCTAGATAGCTTCTTCCTAACTTTTGAAGTTTCAATGGACACTTTTGAAGCAACTTCAGTTTGCTGTTTTTCATAGTTCTTTGTTCCTCCGCCACTGTTTTTTTTTTTTTTTTTTGTTAAATCCGCATGAGCAGTGGCCTAGATGAAGATCGCTTGTACCAACTCTGCTTTTGCAGATTCAAATCCCAATGTGCTGGTGTATATGCAGTCGTGGCTCAGGCATAGCATTTATCGATTGGCCTCTAAGCTGTCCTCATTGTCTATCTCTTTTCATTTCTTAGTTCATTTTGATCGTCAGCGTGTCATAGGTATCCATGAAGAATTATCTGACCTGCCCACACCATTTTAAAGATTTCACCTGTCAGCCTGAAGGATTAGATCATGTGCCCTATATTCTGGTGCTTACTCCCCTGTTTGCGTAAGGCTTTCAGCTGGGATCCGAATAGATAGGCATGGTTTAAGATTTAATGCTGATGTTAGTAAGAGTACGAAGACGACAATTGATTAAAACGAGACAAAGGAGTGCGTTATATATACACTTCAGTTTTTCAACGCTTGGGCTTTTCAAAGTCTTTGAAGGTTACAAACGGTACTTTAAACCCAATATGTCCTCGTTACATTTTCGTGAGTTTTTCTAGGTTTTAAAATGTCCAAAAGAAATTTCAATCCATATTAGAAAAAAAAGAGAATAAGATGGAAAAGAAATCATTAAAACTCTTTCGTACAACAGCAGCAACAGTAGTAGCAAAATAATAACAACTACGTTGAAGCGAAATGAGGTCTGCTAATGTAAATTTTATGTTTGCAAAGGTCATTTTCGAGTAGAGTACGTAATTTTCTAAATTGTAAATATTACCTTGACATGCAAAGCAGTCATTGTCATGCAAAGAAACACGAACAACACCAGTAACAAAGTATATAAGAATTATCGGTTCATGTTAAGTAATCTTAAGTATTGCTGTTGTTTGCGTTATAAAAACATTGACACATACACACACACACACACACACACACACACACATACGCGCGCGCACACATCCGAGCACATATACATTCATTCATTCCTTTACTCGAAAACTTGGAAACAGAAAAAGTACAACAATTAAATTTAGATTTAAATTCATTCACATTGTTATCCTTTATATTTTATATTTTACTACAATTATCATCATGCTCGCAACGCATGCAAGCGCACACTATATAGCATATATGACCTCAACTTCGTGCTTATATTGTAAGCACTTTTACTCAAAGTAACCTTGTCCCCGCATAACCAACCACACAAAAAAAAAAAAAAAAATAAAGGAAAAAAAATATTTTTTTTAGTTCGTCACATGCTATGAAAAAATGTGTGCATAAATACGAATATTCAAGTAAATAAGTGTACGTGCAAGTGCTTATGTGTGTCTATTGTGGAATCCTGCATCCTTTGATATTTTACTACTATTTCCGGTGTTGTCCCTAATGCGCTTAAGTAATGTTTTATTTCCTTTTTAACTTGTTTTTATGTTCCTTCATCTCTGACATGTTTGTTTTGTCTAACGGAAGGTTACATTAACAAATCGAGAATACAATTACATACAGACTATGTACGAATGTTACAATTATGCAGATTACTTTCTTTGTCATGCTGTTGTCTCAAACAAAATGCTTATCTTTTGCTATAATTTTCTTATTTTAATTTTTATTTTTTCTTATTTTTTATATTTCTTTTTGTTATTTTGCCTTAATTACACAATATGCGTTTGTGTATTTATGTGTCTGCCTGTGTGTCTGTCTGAGTTTATAGTTTATGAACCTGTAAATTTGTCTTTTGTCATAGTGCGTTACGTTCGTTTTTTGTTTCTGCGTTAACTTGCATTATGCTTACGCCTATGGAGGTCCATTCCACGTACATAAGTACAAAATGACGTGTTTTTGCCATATTTTGCTTGCGTTTTTATTCCATGTTTGCCGCTACTATAACGAATTTTAATGCTTTTTAAAAAGTTAAAAGTATTTAGCTCATAGGGGTTTCTCGCCTGCCCCTTAGAAATATTTGAATAAAAACCGAGTCACAAACTAAATACCGCCTTTATCATGGCTAAGAGACGGACGATGCGAGGGTGTCTTAACTTGAGCACTTGCATCGTGGCTTAATCTTACAATGTCCGCTGTCACAACGAGTTATTTAAACGTGAACTGTCGCCTCGCAGTGACAGACACAATTCCTATAAGCCAAAGACCCCATTGTACTTGAAGTAGCAGTGTATGGCCAGTAAACCCACTATGGCGAGTGTTCGAAGTCTTTCTACACCTCATTATTTATAGTTTTACATGCTACTACATCTTACACGACACTGTCCGAAGAAAGTTACTTAGCAGTCAGACCCCACACGCTGCTCATACCTAGGTCCTGTAGTCCTTCGCAACACAATCATTTATTCTTAGCTGTTCCTTGAGAAAAACAAGAGGTTCTCCTAAGCACATGGGACACATACGACAAATGGTAAATCGTAACCTATACAGCTTTTAGCATTGCTTTACGCAAGCGCAGGAACTTTAGCCTTCCTGTGTCGCCATTTTCGGGAATCATTTTTCATATTTTCTATTTCTTTATTTAGATCTAATAACAGTGCTTTTCTTTCCGTTTAAAACGACGAAAAAACGCCGTTTTACGCTCTACACCACTTCGATTCAGAATGATTTTCTGAATAAATTTCAAATTGTCTGTCTGTCTGTCTGCGTCGTGTTGTCTGTATTCAAGCCATAGGGCGGCATAGCCGACAGAAGAGATGAAATTCACTGCTTATTAATTTCCGTCCAAAAAATTTCAATCGTCTGCGGGTGTAATGCAATGTGTCCCTACAACTTGAACTACCTCAAAAAAAGCCCAAGAATTTACATAAAAACGCAAGAATTTTGAAAATATAAAACGGGAAATATTTACACGAGTTCACTTCTTCAATCTTTTTTTAACGAATTGATCCGACGCTGTATTCCACAGACACACACTCTGGCCACATTTCGAATTGCATAAAACCCCAAGGACATAAAAAACGAAAATATTATAATTTTGAATACATATAACGGGGCAAATATTCACACGTGTTCAGTTTTTCTTTTTCTTCAATCCTTTTTTTGACCATCCTAGCGAATCACATTTTAATTTTGAACAACACATAAATAAGGTTCGTTTACTTAATTATTGGTTAAGATTGTGAGTGAAGAAAAATGCTCGAAAACTTTCAGTTAACCGCTAGCACTCATCAAGATCTGAATAAATAAAATATTTACATATTATAAAAAAAGCAAAAAAAAAAACCTCTTGAAAGCGAAAGTGAAAAAAATAGTTTAATAATTTTTTAAATAATTTCCAAGGACAATGAGGTAATTTACAAATGCATGAACATTAATAAGTTTATTGAAGAAAGAAAAATTTAAAAAAAAAAAAGAAAAACGAAAAATAATTTATTTAAACCTTAATAACTTTTAGTTTTTTTTTTTCTCTTTCTCTCTTTTTCGTGTCATTTTTCATGTACCTAATATGCAGGCCCGAAACCAGGTCCACCACGTAATTTAACCGTAACTGAAGTGTCGAATGGTTTTCTTATCTCATGGCAAGCGCCGTTGGAACGAGCTCATATCGTAAAATTTTACACTATTAAATATCGCACCGACGCACAGTGGAAGACACTGAATCGCGGTCAAATACGACCGGAAGAAACACAATATTTAGTTAAGAATTTAGTTGGTGGTCGTACGTATTATTTTCGCGTTTTAGCCAATTCGGAAAAATCCTATGAATCCAGCGATGAAGTTAAATTTCCGGTACCGGCACGTGTCAAACATAAAGCGATAACAGCCGGTGTCGTTGGGGGCATCCTGTTTTTTATAGTTGCGATCATTTTATCGGTTTGTGCCGTAAAAATTTGCAATAAACGTAAACGACGAAAACAGGAAAAAGGTAAAACCAACAATGACAAGCCAACCTTTTTGAGGAAACTCAAAAGAGAAGCATTGAAATGGTTTTTAATATTTAAAATTAATTTTACATTTATCCTTGTTTTTTATTTTTGTTATAATTTTTTTTTTTTTTTTTTTTTTTGTTTCTTGTTATATGGTTACATTTTTTTTCAAAACTCGTTTTATTATTTCCTACATTTTAATATAAATTTTTGAAAGTACAAACACAAGGGCAAGCATTTTATTCACTTTGTTTATTTTTAATCACTTATCCATCAGTTCAGATAAGTTCTAATGAACTGTGGGCGTGTCAATGAGTCGATTAGATTAACCATCAAAGGTCTGAAGGAGCATTCAAGACAAATTTCGTTCCGACGTCATGCAATTAATTCATGATTTATTTGCGAATATGATGGATTTGCTATAAAAAGTACTGAGCTTTTAGAAGTTAGATTTAAACTTATATTTAATGATATACATATTTCTCGGTATCACAATGCCGGGAGAGGTTATGAAAGGTGATTGCACTGTACTCTTCAGAAAACCTAAAATAATTATGCACGACGATCCTAAGACCTTTAAACTATACGTGCGTATAACAAAATCCACATATTGGTCTTGCAAGATATATATATTAGTCACCATTTTTCCGATGCTTTTAGCAGCATATGAGTTCCATATGGAAAGTACAACTGATCTAATGAGGGGTCCATCGCTAAATGTCTTCATAAAAATCTAAACAACAGGCGAACGGAGAATCAACGCTTGCAAAAAGGTTAAGTTAGGAAAAGCTATGTTTGATTACTCGGACGGGAAGGAACACCTTAAGTTGTAATGGATTTCAGACGGGGTTCGTAATATTTAGCCGATCATTTTAATGCTGACAAATAAGTGTTCAATATCTTATATTTTACTGTACAGAGAGGGTTCTTTTGGCGACTATTAAACCGTCGTAATTGCTGTCGTATGTACCTAGTGATGGTTTTATTAGAATAGAGGATACAATACAAAAACCGTTAATTTTTTTCCCAGGCATTAAATCACTCGTTTTTATTGGAAGTATACGTAAGCTCCGTCCCTTTCTTGTGGGCAGAAAAGCATATACTTCAAAACAAGATGAATGAATCGCTTAATTAAAACAAGATGAATGAATCGCTTAATTAAGGTATTGCCCAACGCTGACTATTACCTAATTTCAGGCAAATTTCGAAATCGATCTCAAAAAATGTCTTTCCTTTTGAGGTTATCCCCAAAGGAACTCATATTTGGTTATTGTCACAAGAATCGAAGCACCGTTCGAACAAACAAGACGACATTTATTGAAATTTCTGTTAATCGAAAGGAGTAATGTCTGCTGATAACAGTAGAGAGGTTTAGATAGCTAAGCTAGAACGTTGGACGGTTCCTAAGCGGGTCTACTACATAGAACCAATTTTTCTTATAGCGGGAACTCATGACATTATCACTTTTGGCATATCACGCCAATTTTTCGTAGCAATTGCGTCAATTATTCTTGATAGCGTTCTGATGGTGATAGCTTCATTTGGTGGTGACCGCCGTCTTACCACACTTTTGCTCTACACCCTGCAGTAGTACTTAGTTTTTCTCTTCGAAAACGAACCAAACTAATTTGTACTCCCAATACCATTGCATAGACTTCTAAATGTCTGGAAACAGTTAATCAATTAATATTTATTTAGTGAACGACATGTTAGTAAGGAGCTTTTCCTGACCTTTGACGCAAGTCTTCTTCTTTGGGAAACATCTCTATTTCTTTCCCTCTCTCTCTCTCTCTCTCTCTCTCTCTCTCTTTGTTCCCACCTTCAATCTCTTTTTTGTGACGCCTACGTCTTATCACCGGCAGCAATTGATTACTTTGTTACAATAGATATGATAGAAACTCGGGCCGTACGTAGGTGAGAGGTTACTTAGTCAATTTTCTTCAAATTATTTTCCCTTCATTCTAACTTGGCGATATGGGAACTGTGAAGGCTCCATTAGCTACTGTATGTCAGCAGAAAATATTAAATATTTAAATTTACAAAACAAAATCTTTCGTATACTTCAGCTTTTGCTTTTCATAACGTGCTGCGCTTATACAGACTTTGTGTAGTGATTACATATACAACGAAAACAAATTCCAAGGAGTAGCTCATTTTTACAAAAAGTTTAGTTCCTTCCAAGGGCTAAAATTTTGTTATGTATCTCTTTTATAGCCTACACAATTTGCTATACAAAAGCATGCTGACTTTATGCGGATGTATGTAGCAACCAGAAGAAGTTGAGATAGACCCGCCTTTATATGCCGATCGAATCAGAATCACTTTTTGCGTTGATCTAAGCTTGTCTGTCCGTAGGTCCATCTTATTTTCTTGTGTTTACGCCACGGTCCACAATTTTTTGATGGACCAGCCTAATTTGACTTAAGAACAAACGTTATTGAAAATTGTTCGGATCTGACTGCTTTTTCGACCATTTCTCACATATTATAAATCTTTATTTTAAAATGAATGAATGACTACTTGTATGAAGCGCAGTGATGTATATTTGTTTATTCAATGGTGAACCGTGTCGTCATTTTACTTGTTAAAATTATTTTACACACTTTCTCCGCACTTCTCAAGTTTAAATGTCGTGGATGTAACGGTTTTCTTTCTAAATTGCCCTTGATGTTAAACACAACAATATCACATAACAGAGAAAAGGCTCGATAATTTTTAAAGAGATCAAGATAACGAATTCATTTCAAGAGTGATTTAATAATTGAATAACGCTGGTGATTAAACTTAACCAGCAGGAAGGCAAAATAAAAATGAAAAAATGTTTAATTAGAGCTCGGGCTTAATTATCGATGATGAACGGCTAAAGTTATGGGTGGACGGGCAAATACGACCGAACGACGAACGAACTTAACTATGCCCCTGAAAGATCTTATACAGATCAAGAATGCAAAACAAAATGATGAAACCTTTGATGGTTATTGCCAGTAGCTTTATAAACGGGATGAGGAATCTAGAATGCCGCCACGCTTTGTTGGTAGTTATATCTATCTATAATTTATTAAAAATGAAATAACCAACGAACAAGAACATTTTTTAATAACACATTACATCAAATGTTTAGGGAAATAAAAAAAAAAAAAAAAAATGAAATAAATTTTAATTAACACAAATTTCTGTTTAAACAAAATTTTAATTACGGGAATTCGCCTGCCATAACATATTTTCGGACATAATCTTCTTTTTTTTTTTTGCAAAACAGTTTTCCATTGTTTTTATGGTTTTTCCTCTTTTTTAATATTTTTCACTTATTTTTATTAGTTATTTAATTTAATAATTTTAATTGTTTATTTTTCTTTTTTTTTCCTCTTCTTACGCATATTTCTATTCAATTAGCGCTCAATCAAAATAATTTATGATATTTCAATGTAAAATTAATTAATTTTTGAGATATTATTAAATTATTTTCGCATAGTTGCGCTTTTTTCACAATTTATTTATTCGTTTAAACATAAATCATCTGAAATCATGCATACATGTATATATATTTCTAGTACAATATCATATGAGCTTAATACCCATCATTAAATTAATTTATTGCATTAGCGTTGAATGCAAAGTACAAGAACGAAAAATCAATTCAAAACTTTTATAAATAGTTTGCGTTATTTCAGGTTAAATTTAAACACAAAAAAAAAGGGACCAAATAGTTTGAGTTTAATTTTAAAGTCGAACAGAATGCAGGAACTAATTTACTCGTGAACTATTAGTGTCAAGTGTGATGTGCACTTTGAAGGGCGAAAGTTCGGACTTGGTCACTTAAAAAGGCCGTGCGAAGATATTTGGTTTTACTCTACGTCGAGTAATTTATTTGCGGCAACCACAACAGTAGTTCGGGCCCAAGTATTTTTAAATAATCTTAGCATCATGCTTAAAAATCTCAATTATTACGAATTCGATGCATTAGAAATTCATGCCTTTTAAAATGCATTACACTTGCATACTTCAGCTGCCACAATTAAATTTGAAAATTATTTGACCCGCCTACAAAAATTGAATCCAAGTTAAAATTTTATAAGAAGACAACTTTAATAGGTCCACTATTGCGGCATCCATGCACACAAAAAGATCACCAATTTCAGTTTCTTCTATGTATGATATTAGAACTTCACAGTTAATTACGCTTATACATATGGCATTTTCAAAGATATAATCTGATTCTTCTAAAACTCAGCAAATCAGCAACACATGGTTCATTGCGTTGAGTAGAGAACGATCAAAAAATATGTTTTAACTGTATTCAGATACTGACTGTAGCTAAGAATTGACGAATGCCATTTTTCCGGTAACATTTTTCTTTTTCAAATTTTCGATCACTGCTTACAAAGCTGTATCGTAGATAGATCACCGGTCACATTAGCACAGATTAGCATTTAAATGATTCAATAAATAATATATATAGCATAGTATTCCTCAGTCTGTACGTAGTGTTAAGAGAGTCTTAGAAAATAAGTCAAAATTGCAAGCATTTCCAGTAGTTGCCAGTTTTCGCTGAAAGAAGGCAAACGTATTTTAATAAAATGTACACAGCCAGCTTGGCTTAGGCGCTGAATTGAAAGAATTGCTCATGTAAAGAATAAGCAAGAATATTGCTGAGCTGAAGGTATACTGTTCTCAGTTTAAAAAAAGTTTTACACCCCAACCACGATCCATTTTTTGCTATGACTACAATTAGAAATGTATATAGACTTTCGTTTGGCAGATTGGTTGTTTGCTACTCTTACCTTACTGGCGCTTACCCATATTGTAAATTGGTGTTCTCGCTAAACAAATTTTCATAAAAAGATTATGTAATTGTAAATTGAACGTGGTATTCAACGATGAAATATATCACTGTTAAATGGTAGACACACATATATATAACGGAGGCATCAGGCAAAGAAATCAGAATAAATATCGCCACCTAATCGTAAAAAAATTAGACCAAATCTTGCTCTAGGCA